TTCCAAAAAGAATTGCAAAAAATAGGCAGCTCACAAAACACCAAGTTATAAGCTAGGATTTTTCAAAGCTATAGCTTAGATATAGGCATGTGAAAACATATAGGCACCTAACGAAGTGGTCTGGCAGTGTAGCATGTGTGATGGAGTTAAAGCTACTTGGTGAGCTACTGCTGAAGTGAGTTGTCACAGCTTTATATTCTCTTCTCAACAGCAAAGTTAAGCTGGCAGGGAATGTATTTTACTTTTCCACTGGAGTAGGATAAGGACATGTAAGTGGACTATTATCATGACTCAACTGACAAGAATTAGCTGCTACATTAGCCTTTTACGTCTTGCCTTGCCTCTTATTTTCAGAGGGTTGATAACCTGGTTGGCCCTAGTCAGGCTAATGCATGTGAATCTTAAGACCCTTGTTTTAGTTAGTCATAAAACAGAAAGATGACTTGGTAATGGGACTTTATGCACATCTGATTATGTAGTATTTTATCACTGCTACCTTGTCAGCACAAACAGCAGGGGCTTTTGCAGGTTCCGCCAGCAGCATGCCTCTTTTTATCACAAGTTCTAAAAGTCTTGGAAGGGTATGTGTTCACCCTATGTCGCCACATATTCTTATATCTGAGTTGCAGCAACCAAGATATATTTGTGTTCATTGCAAGTATTTTCAAAGTAGCATGGGATAATTGTCCCTTTGAAAGCATCTCTCTATAAACTATTGTTTAAAACTGCCAGACGCATCTTTGGTTTTTATTAAGAGTAAGGCAACAACAGAGAGTCTGTAGTTATCAGGAGATAATAATTCCCCAAGGGTATTTGAAGCACCTCATAACCAAAAGGTTGTGATTACTCCACGTTTACTATACTGCTTATTATTCCTTATTGCTTAATTATGGAACCAGAGTGTGTTTCCTGAATACCGTCCTCTAAATAAGATCTGCAGTTCTCATGCTCTGCTTTAATGTGACATGGACTGGGGAGCTTTGTAGTGTTTTGAGATGATGTAAGGGATAGCAGTAAGGTGGGCCAGTCATGGCAGCTCTTCTGGCCTTCGGGAGACCCACGCATTCAATCCCTGCTCTGTCAAATGTTTGCTGAGGGGCCTTGGGCAAGTCACTCAGCTTCTGATAACCTCAGCTCTGCATTGCTGCTCAGGTGCTACCATAAATAAGGCTGCATGAGTACCTAGAATAGAAATAATATAATAGACTTCATCTTGACCTCTAGGTATGGACTCAGGCAGCACACCATGAAGACACTGGTTTCCTTTTAATGTGTGCAGTGAGTGGTCTTCGGCTAAGTGCGGTGGCTGAGGGTTGTGTGTGGATGGGGGGTGAGAGCACAAGTGAAGACAGAATTTAGTATCTTAAAAACATAGAATCATAGAATAGTTTGGGTTGGAAGGGACTTTCAAAGATCATCTAGTTCAGCCCCCCTGCAATGAGCAGGGACATCTTCAACTAGATCCGGTTGCCCAGAACCACATCCAGCCTGGCCTTGAATGTGTCCAAGGGGTGGCTCATTCACCACCTCCCTGGGCAACTTGTTCCAGTATTTTACCACCATCATTGTAAAAAATTTCTTCCTCACATCAGCCTGAATCTCCCCTCTTTTAGTTAAAACCATTACCCCTTGTGCCATTGCAACAAGCGCTGCTAAAAAGTCTCTACCTGATTTACAAGGCGTGTAACTGTAGCCTAAGTGGTTGGGCTCCCAGTGGCACTGAGAGCTCCATTGCTCTTGCCTACAGAGAACCTCTCTGTTCACACTTAAGGTTTACACACATTTCCATCTTTGGTTAAACTGATGCAGTTTGTGCTTCCCAGGCTATGGTGTGTAGTGTATGACACACAGGTGGGTACTTGTTGGCACCAAGCTCACCTGAAACAGGCATGTAATGCTGCTGTGTTACAAAAAGGCTTTGATGTCACCACTTTTTACTGGTTCAATGAGTCTTAAATGACTTGCTGCCTTGAAAGGCAATGTACTGTTGCAGTTACACATTGGAAAAGAGTAAAGAGTAGAAAGTGTGGCCTTTTCCAGGCTCACTGGGCCAAGAAATCTACCTTGAAGAACTCTTTTTAAGTCTTTGATTTAATGTTTTATTGACTCATGTAACCTACTGCAAGGAAGGGGAAAGCCATCCAGAATGTATTTGAACATTAGCCTTGATTTTTTTATTGTTTACATTAAAAGGAAAATGAGAAGATGGGTGATAAAGCTCAGTTTCTAAATCATCACCTAAATTTCCAGATGA